TCAATTGTTGATGCTAAAGCGTGCCAGGCATTTCGTGGTTGCGTTGGTCCGCGTTAATGATAAAGACGAATGCGCATCGATTTTCTCTCCTAAATTTTATTCCTACCACTATTGTTAGGTTGATAGACTTGTTCTATTAAATTATTTCACCTAGAGAAGAGATATATGTTTTTTCATACTCTTATGAAATCTCGATACGTTATATTTAAAATTTATAATTTAAATATAATGTTACGTTTTGTAGACTGAAAATGTTGCTGTTTTTAGATTTGATAGAAAAATAGCAAAAAAATTTAATGTTAAAGTTTGAAAAATTTTCTTTTGATATATTTGAAAGGATAAAAGAAGGATATGAAAAGAAAAAGAAAAAAGAGAAATAGGAATATAAAATATAATGTTCTAATCGATAGTTTTTTAAATCAATTTTTATCTATAAAAAAGTATTTAAAAATTATAATAAGAAATTTATTTGCGAAGATAATTTGCGGAACCAGATATCCAACGTCCTAAAAATAAACGGTCCATATTCCATTATTTATGCAGCTATTCAAGAATGTAAAGACTTGGCCGACTCGTAGGAGCTAAAGCCTCTTGAATCCCGGGATAACGCGGCACAGTGCGAGCATCTCTTCGCGGCAGGTGCTGCGCAAGAACAAAAGTACCTCTACGTATCTCTATATAGCAATGTAGTGACGCGGAAAGGAAATCCATCGCGGAGGAGCACTCGAGCGATTTTCTGTACGCGCCGCTTCTATAAATTCCGTCGCGAAGTGTGAGTGCTTCCAGAAGGAATGTCACTCGCACGTGCTCTTCACGCGTTTTGTCGCGTATTTAAGCTGCTATCCGCGAATCATTGTGCATGCTCTTGTGTTTCACACTCGTTATTGCGTGCAGTTATGATAAAACAATTCTCGATTTTTTTACACTTTATTCGCTTCTTTCCTCTACACAAGACTCGGTTATTATGTTATGGGCTACCTTTTAAGATTTCTCTAAAAGTCTTCGCGTTACACCTTTGTAAAGTGGCAAAAACAAGACATCCTTCTTTCATTTTATCGTTGATTTTTCTTAATTAAGAATGGTTTGACTGTATAATATCAATTAAAAGTATCAGTCAAATGATTAATAAAAAGATCAATATCAACCAAAAAATTTTATGAACGCGCTCTGAAATTAACAACTGTAAAGAAAACATATAATTTGACTTATATAATGCAGTACACAATCATATTTTGCTGTAATTTTAGGAAAATAATTTTTAAATGACTAATTTTGTAAGTGAATCCAAATAAACTTTTGCTCAAATATTTATTAGACTTGTATATATACATATATGTATGTATAATACTTGAATTGATTTAATTTGTAGTATATTACTTCCTCAAATTTATAAATAAGACCACTATAAAACAGTTTTATACAGAGTATCTCATTTTAAATGCTTCTCGAAAACTATGATAGATATGGAAAAGTCTTTTAAATAAAAGTTGTGTAATTCAGAGAGGAAAATAAGAAGGTACTATTAACTTTGATGTCACCCAAGGTCAAATCTTCTTATGTCCGCTTTCGAACTGTACAACTTTTGTTTGAAACATTTTTCCATAATATTTAACCATAGTTTTCGAGAAATCTTAGTGTATTATTTAAAATGGGATATCCTGTATATACATATAATATACATATAAGAATCAAAGCAAAAAAATTTAATAACTTTTAAACTTTATAAGAAAATTCTGCTCAAAGTTTACACAGATACTTATGTATTTAATAATAGAACAATCTACGAAATTTTTATATTTTTTTGAGAACTACACTTTGAGATGTAACACATACATCCTTAAACGACATTTTTAACAACTTTGCGAATTGTGATGCTTTGGCGACATTTGATAAACAAGGTATCTGATTGTGTAATATTTTGACAGAGCGTTCTGATGATTAATTAAAGCCAGATAAGTAATATGACAAGTTTGACAGATTGATAAATATAAAGAATGAAAAATAATATTAAAAATAAATGATAGATTATGCTATATTAAATTAATTGAGAAAAATGTAGCTATAAACTTTTATTTAATTGTAATAGTAAATGAATGTCATGATGCATTCAATCTAAAACTTCGATAGAAAGTATTAATGAGATCTATACTTGTTTAAGCAATTATAAGAGAAACAATTGCTCTTGAATAAGAGTTTTTATTACAAAGGAGAGAGAGAGGGGGGGGGGGGGAGGGGGAGGGGGAAGAGAGAGAAAAGGACAGAGATACAGACAAAGATAGTGAATTAAATCATTTGTATGTACAATAAAAAAATTGTATAATAAAAAAAATTTATTAAAAAAAATTTTTTTTTAATTTATATGAGCTGATAATAATTATTAACATTTGTATGTAATAATTTATTCTGTTATACGATTCTATAGCATAATTATCATCTGTACACTTTCTCTTTTCGAAAAGCTTTTTGCAGAAAGTTTTATAATACATATGCATGTGTATAAATCAATGTTCGTTATAAACGAAAATATTATGTGTAGGTAGATCAATAAAATTCATAGAAAATATTGAACTTAATTTCATGAAATTTATAAAAATTGTAATATTTAAAAAATATTGATAAAGCAGTATTGAAAAATGGTTATAATTGAATATGTATGTTCAAAAATGCAATTACATTTGTTTTTTTATTGGTGTCATCAATATGTATATGCAAAATGTAATTTACATAAATTATTCAGTAATGAATTTTTGTTAAATTAACAAAATGAATAATCATTTTGGACAATTTTGTAACGTATTTAAACTTGCATACGCGCACACATGCATACCTAGTAGGTATATGTAAATGTACCTGTATGTTAAATTCTGCTTTGTCCTTTCGTGCTTTGGCTAACGTTTCTTTATTTTTCTTCATTCCTCTTCTTAAAGTTCTTAGCCGCAAATGGAACGGCTGTTTCGTCCTGAATTTATTACAAGCCCGTGAATTTCTCCCGAGTCTCATTTTCTCTTATTTCGCCTTTATTATTATTATTAGCATCCAGCGTGGTCTGGCCCATATTTTACTATCCCCAACCTCTCTTCTATGTCTTCAGTCGTCATTTCCCTTCCCTCGACGCCTCTCTCTGCCTCTTGTATTTCCTACGCTCGCCTTTACTTCTTTTCCTTACACATTGCCTCTGGTAAGCTAACGTTTAGCTTACGATATTCCAGACTTTAATCGCCCTTCTGTCTCTTTTCATCCTGTCGTTCCTTATACAGTGATCATTAAGTAGTGTGCAACACCATGAAGTCGAAGCGAAGGGTGGCGCGTGTTCGCTCTCTAAGTAGACGGTTGCTTGTGAGTGATGTAGACTGTGAAAGAACTCGAGCAAATGCGCGAAGGGATGAAAGCGGGTTGATGCAAAGCGAAACTGACTGCTTGTTAATTTTATTATCGTCAATTTTGCCTTTTAAACTTACGAAGAGATACACTTGAATTGAATATGTATTCAGTATTGTATGAAAAATTTTCCTCAACTTTGGATAGATATAACATTTTTAATATCAAAACCCACTTGTATAATATTGTACGCTTTTTTTTTCAAAATTTTTTAATTTACTTTTTTTATATTCAACGACCTCTTTATATTTTAGAATATGTGACTTGTATAATTTACTAAACTCTAACAATTTCAAAATTTTTCAGATAGTTTTAGAATTTATTAGCAACTGTATTTGATGTAAATCTTTTTTTGATCTTTGCAATAATGCATACACACCTTTTTATCTATAATATCTATGTATAATAAAAAATAGAAAAAGAAACGATCAACGTGCATATGTAAAACTTGTATAACTTTAGCATTATTAAATGAAAGAAGAAGCGCAAAGGCTGTAGCAACGATGTTGCATTGTTTAAAGAAAAGAAGACAGCTGAGCTTATTGAATACGCAAAGAAATACAAACGTTTCGAGTGGCGTTCTAGTCGCCGACGTTCTTTCTTAAATAAGTCACGTCGGGTGTAAAAGACATTTACTCATAAAAGACGTGGTACAAAGAGATACATAAACACGCGAATAGTAGCAAATGGATGTGACAATGTTGTTAGTGTGTTCTAAAAAAATTTTATATAGAAGAGAAGTTATGATGTAATATAATTTCTTTATTACATAAACCGATTACCCTTTTATTAAAATTATATTAATATAGAAATTATTTAATTGCGAGATCATATATTATTATATTTGTTTTTTCCTTTATCATATAATATTGATTAATGACTTTCTAGATACTTTTAGATAATAATAGAGAAGTCGATTTTAGAGAGAATATACATTAATAGTCAAAGCAAGATCGGACAATAAGAGGAGAAATCGCGAGCTTGAATTTTATTTCTATACATTTTATTTTAAACGTTATTTTAATTGTATTTAACATGGAGTCTGTTAATTTTATAAAATATATTTTAATTATTTTCTTCTAAATTATTTGCAACGACTTCTTTATAACTTGATTCATTTATTATTTTTACATTAATAATTAATTTTATTATCACGGATTTATGTATTTGTATTGTATTTTCTTCTTTTAGAGAGACAAGGAAATTTTCTTTTGTATATTTTCTATTATTATAATGAGATTTATATACAGATTATATCCATATATACAGTTATATTCATATTAAAAGTTTACGGTAAGTTTATAAAGGGATTATTTTTCTTTTTTGTCTCTTTCTTTCTCCGCTGATTTTAATGTAATAAGTACAAGGATGACTTTATAAATATATGACATAAATGGGAGAAACAAAAATCAAAATGACAAGATATAGTATTTTGAAAGAAACATTCGAAAGTAAACAAATACTCCATAAAAATTTTTATATTGCCATATCGAATATTTCGGCATTTATATCTCTTATTTGTGTGTTTTCGGCGTTGTCATGTTCTTGTAAGGAAAGTTTTAGAATTCGAACGATTTGTTGGACAGAAAACTCCACGAGAGGAAAAAAGATCTCTAGAAAAGATGGCAAAGATGGAAAGAACGAAAAAAGAAGCGAAATGCAGTTTGAAAGCATTGACCATTTATGATGATGGCGTCATCACTAATTGTAAGGTACGAAAAGAAATCTTAGTTTGCGAGATTTTTTAACTACATATTTTGTGAATGGAAGAAAATTTTGTAAGCAAAAATTACCTTGGTGTGTAAACTGAAAATATTTTGCGTTTGACATGAATCGCCATGAAAAGAGTTTATGATTAATATACATATATTTTTTAAGAACGACATTTTTAGGTAGTTTACGTAAAATATTAGACATTATTTTTTTTTAAATTATTAAAAATAATAATATTCCTTTTTGATATTTTTAGATTTATTAAAATAAATATTATAGTATATTATGTCCATGGAAACACTTTTTGAGCTTTTAATTGATAATTTATAAACTGATAGGAGTTTGTTAAAAAAGCATTTTTCCTTTTTTCTAAACATTTTTAGAAACATAAATTTTTCTTTTATACATATAAATCAAATTTTCTCATTATATTGTTAAAATGTTAAGAAGGCGATTAAAAGATATTGTATATTTTATTTCAATATTATTTAAAACTTTAAGAAAATAAGATTTTTAAGAAAATTGGAAATTTCTTGATAAAAAATCAATTTCTTGTTAAATTTAAAGTCTAATAACCGTTGGAAAAATGTATTTTTAAATAAATAACATATTTTAGTGGTTATACGCTATACATCAACTTTAACACAAAATAAGGGAATAGGGATTTGCCGGATATTAGAAATATCTTCCGTCGGCAACAGACGCGCGGAGATCGACTTCTAGTCCCTCGTTTTATTTTATTTTCAGGGCATCTTGAAAAATCGATTGATCTCTGCTACATAACTGTCAGCGCAGTCTCAAATGACAAGATTAATAAACGGTCCGCATATACTTTTCTATGTATAACAAGAAAATCAAAATTAGATTAAATTTCAGCATTAGTTTAATATGTAAATACATGTATATGATAAGAATACATACTTTAGATTTTATTCCTCGCAATTAAAACTTATTTAAAAAATCTTTAAGATAACCTTTCTGAAATACTGTAAGTGAAGTTTAGACCGATAAGAATAATTAAATAAGAAAAGTAAAATATAAAAATCAAATAAGAAAAATAATCCTATATTTTTGGTAGAAGATTTTTAGTGGTTGAATGTTCATGTGCAATAGTTTTTAGTTTTTTATAAATTGCGCGCCGATTTGGTTTGTCTATAGAGTTTCTAGTTTGTCCAGATCGAGTTTGCCTAGTTTTTCTAATAGATTTGTAGGAATTGAAACGCAATCATAATCTGAAGCTAACTGCTGGAAATAACATCAGAAATTACATTGTGTATGACCGTTTAAATTTAAGAATAATTTAATATTAATAATTATTGTAATGATTATTATTTTACGCTAATAAACACTGCATAGACACAAACTTTTAATATAATAAAATAAATTGTGTAATACTATTCCGATATATAGAAGATTTTCTGGGGTTCTCTCGCATTATATCAAAGCGGCCTTTCGCACCACTTCGATTGACCTCACGCGAGAATATTCCATTTCGTGGCCTTTATATCCACGCGTCATCTAATAACGTGAACGCACGGGTAATGCTGGTTGTTGACAGAACAGGATCGACAATCAAATTCGGGATATCGACGTACCTGGGATTCGTACGTCCGTCCGAGCGTAACGTGACGCCCGGGCTGGCACGAAGGGTCTCTGCGGGAATAAGGGAATAAAGTCGATCGCTCGCCCGCACACGGGGGCGGTATCCCTCGGGCGTTTCAGTGGGATCGACAGGTGGTAGCGGTCCTTCCTACACCCGTTCGCCGTGTGTGCCGAGAAAATACCCTTTTCACGCGAAGGTGCCATTTCGTGTACGTCATGACAGGATCCTTTGACGTAAATCATATCGTTTTCGAAAGCGCTTTTCCGATCGCGAACAAGCATCGAAATAACGGGAATAAAATGCGTCAGAGTGAAAGATTGGACAATATTTTTTTCTACATTTTATGAGTTTTTTTTAAAGAAAGTCAGCGCAAGCTGACTAAAATATTTTGTGAAATCAAATAGATATTTTAACGATGAACGATATTTGTGCGAGAGATAGGTGAACTGCAAGGAATTTTCGGGGATCTACTTTGTAGAATAGAATTTTTATGAAGTGACGAGAGAGAGAGAGAGAGAGAGAGAGAGAGAGAGAGAGAGAGAGAGAGAGATTGTTTTATTATTACATCCGATTATCTGTTTATCAATTTGACACAATTTTTTCATTGATTTAAAAGTTACTTTATTTTTATTTACTTTGATTCTTATGTAATATCGCGTTTTGTTGTATAAATTTATTTGCAATTTTAATATATAAGGTCGTAGCATTACGAATATTAAATTAAATTTTATTTATATTATATTATATACCATATATACAGATATAGATAAAATTAATAAATATTCGTACAAATGTTTATTTAAAACTACGTACTCGTTTAAAAGATATTTACTTAAAATTATAGCATAATGTGGTAGAAATGGCTAATTTGAAAAAAAACATGTATAAAAAAGTTAATTTCGCAAAAAGGCTGCGACATTTTGTATTCTTTTGTATATAGAAGAAAGAAAAATGCACGTAAAATTTGATATTGGACATATCCAAATGTTTTGTGAGAGTACATATTGAGGCAACTCGCTGAAATAAAGCAATGCAATAATTATTATACAGTTCAGGAAATCTTGAAGATCAGGTGTCTTTCCAGAATATTTATAGAAGTGCGCGAACTGTCCTTCCATCATTTCTTTGCATTAATTTTTAATATCTCTTGTTCGATAATTGGGTTTGCATAAATTCGCACTGATAACAGACCGAAATAAGAGAGAACGTATTTTTCCTATATAACAAGAATGATATCAAGAATAAAAAAGCATGCTTTTTCTTTTTATCGAAAAATATATACATATCTATATCGATGACGCTATATACAAGATATTTCACAGCATTTTCTTTCTATTTATTGTAGATTCATTAGCAAATTTGTCAAATAAAATATTTCTTTATTGTTTTTTCTTTAATTTTGAGTTATCTATAAAAGTAACTTAATAATTATTTGCGCAATAGTTAATAGTTAATAAAGTGTAATATTGAAACTATTTATTCTTTCGTTGAAAACTCAACTCATTTGAGTTTTATTTGCCCGATTTTCACTACTCACATTTTTCCTTCATTTTCTTCGTATCGTCCGTTGAGTGAATTATTCGTCGGACCCGCCTTTAGCAGATTAAACGTTCTCCCGGTAACGCTTTCGAAGGAGAACGGCTGATCCCATCAGATTTTTGCTCTCAGGCGAGTGGTTACGAGAAGCCGCCCAAGAAATCTGCTCTTTTCTCTATTGCTACAGAATAATCGTATGATTCCCGTAAGAAAAAGGTTCGTAAAATCCTTCAAATGCGGGAATGTATCAAGACTACCTTATCAAAGCTGATTCTTGGATCTTTCTATAATACTCTAGGCTAAAATTGCTCTTTTTAATGGATTATCAGCTTAACAAGGAACTGCAGTTACTAATTTCGCGCGTTTTATAACACCTCATTCATTTCATTAACGTCAAATTGCAATTCTATGAATATCGCTAATTGGAAGAATATTTATGTTTGATCATTCATATTTGAAGAATCAAATAATCGCAATTATTTATAAATCTTTGATTACTTGTCAATTTAATTTTTACAAAGATGCTTATAATCTTTAAATATTCTTTAGTGATATTTTTAGTTTAACTTTAGTTTCATGAAATGTTGAGTATATGTACATATACATATACTATATCTTTATATATATATATATATATATATATGTTTTATGTGCGCGCGTGTGTATGTGCGTGTGTAAACAAAATATCAAATAGAAAAGCTGTCATTAATCAATATGAAGGCTTTACTTCATGAATTTATAAATATTTGAACTAATAATTGAAGATAAGAGATAATGTGATTCGTAAATAATAACAGATCTTTCAAACACATATTCGTAAAGAAGAAAATAGAGATCTGTAAAGTATTAATCCACACACACACACACACAAAATATGAATATGTTAAATACACTCTTAATTAAAAATTGAAAATTATTTACGACTATAAATTCCTTAACTTTTTCTTTTTTACTTTTTTTTTACTAACTGAATTTAAAAATTAGATGCAAGCAGTTATTGTCATAAAGAAATAATTTATAATTTTATTATACTTTATATATATATTTTTATATGTGTGCTGGCATATGATTTCTTTTTTCTTTTACCACATATCCATCATACATAAAAAAACTCATTTAAGTTAAAATTTATGAAATTAACTGCGGATATAAAAACTCGAAAAATTATATTTTCTCCATGCATGGATCTTATAAAATTTGTGATAACGTTTTTAAATAAAAATTTAATAATTTTTAATTAATTTGATTAAAAATTAATGAATATTCATCTATTATATTGAAATATATATTATTGAACAATATATATTATATATATTCACGGATTCAAATATATTTAAAGAATTAATTTATCCCAATATGCTTACTTTTGTATGATTTATCGAATCGCATAATTTCGATTTTATACAAAATATGTACTACTGCCAATCATTTGGTCCGATAGCTTTCGCGACATTTTTTCTCAACTTTTATGTCGCGCGCATTTCCTGCATCCTCGTTATCGATAGGATATCATGTTCCCGAGATATGCGATTTATGGAAAAGTGGTAGTGTTAAATTTAGGTGGGAAATCGTACAGACTATCAATCGAAGCGATTTGTTGAACAGCATTTAATAAATTGAGAATATATGTATAATCTGACGTTAAGATATATGTACACACACATATGCCATATACTATATGATATTTCTATAACATGGTTGCAATTATTTATAGAAATATAATACACAATTAAGTGATCCTATAGCAAAAATTTGAGGTAAGTGAATGCTCTCTAAATTTTTTTTACTTTGTCTTTGAAATATTAACATAGGAAAGCTGGAGCTTTTGCTAAGCAGAGTTAAAAGATTCGTTTTTCACAAACTCTTTACTTATCATGAGGTGAAAGGACGGAAAGCAAATTGCGATGGCTTTCTGCCTAATGTCTTTTTCTTGAATGGCTTGCGGTGGTTCCGTCAGGATTTATAGAATTCAAAAATCTGTCGAGAAATTTGCCCCACGTAGAAAACGTTTTACTACATAGGAAGATCCTTTGAGAGAAATTCCTGGAGGCTTTACGATCGTGAAGAAAGAAATGGGTTCTCGCCTCGTAAGGGTTCGCAAGATCCGAATCCTGTTGCCAATCGCAACAGGAGAATTCGAAACGAGTATCGGTCCCAGGACGAATAGCTAGACACGCTCTTCGTGGTATCGTTCTCTCTTTTATCTACACGAGATACCAACATTCACTTTGGAGATATTTCTGCCGATGAAACAAGATATCAAGTAAACTAAAAATGTAGCGAAATCGATGTTTAATTAATAATAAAGATAATGATAGAGCTGTAGATAAAATATTTTACAGTGAAATATAAAATAATATAATAATTTTAGAATGCTATATTAGATGCGTTATGTATTTTTTTTCTATTTTAATATTTTTATTTTCATTTAACCATCGCAATTTACTTGCTATAAGAGTGTAAAATTGTTTAATTATTTTCTAGCTAGAAATTTTACGTAAAATTTCTAATTGTGCTTCCTTTTACGTTTCAAGACCACTATATTACTAGCTGTTAGGAAACAAACAAAATAATAATCAAATAATATAAATCCTGCTCTATTTAATAAATTAATATATACTAATAAATCTTAAAATATAATACAAAGAAGTAAAGAAATTTGAGTTGTAAAACTCTGTGTGAAACACAACCTGCTACAAACCAGCGATAAACTTTTATTCACATTATGCAAGCAAACAATATAAATGTTTGAATTGGCTATTATATTTCTTCGATAGGCTATGATGTACAAAGATCGAATTACGATCTTGGGATCGAGCCATGATCGATTTACCGAGTATAGGCGCGATAGCTGTCTTCCGGTTTATTAGTCTCCTATCTGGCCGCAACAAGGATGACGCTATAGCATCCTTCCTGGATGCAGGGGCCAGCTTTCGGGACGAGATGGGCTATTGATATGCGGTACGCGTCGCTGCCATCGAAACGCTTTTTCCAGACGCAGGAAACGGGAGAACCCGATTCAACGGGTGCGATTATGGTCGATTGATTCGCAACGCTGGCTAACCCAGCGATTCGACGGCGAATGCGAGCAGAATGTGCCGATGGAGCCACGCAGTAGGTAATAGGTCCTCTCGGACCTATGATTATGTTTTGCTTAAATTTCGATCTTTTATAGCGTAAAATTTACATATTCAATCAGCAAAAAATCACACATCTTAGTAAAAGAAGTGCATATGGAGGGTCTAATTATTTTCTAATTAAAATATACGCGTACAATAGAGTATTTTGCAACTGAGGGTACAATCGAAAATACAATTATTCCGTTATTCTGGATAAAGGAAATACACAAACGTAGAGTTATATGAGTACAGCGAGTTTGTGTATAAAAAATATAGAAAGTTCCACATCATTTAAATGTAACATTTAATAAGACATTGAATTTCAGAATTAAAGAATTTGTTAAATTAATTACGTTACTGCAGATTTGATGAATATGTGTATTTGAATAATATGTATGATGTATTATACATATATGATTGTTCTTTTACCATTTTTAGAATTACTACTTTATATATTTATATTTTATTTACACTTTTACATTCTTTACACTTTACTGTAACATTTATCACATTTTTTGCAAATTTACGTTTCATTTAACAACTGTATGTATGCGATTTGCCATTTGATGGCTGGAAAATGATAAATGTCCAAGTTTATTCTACACTCATGGGTCTAAATGCAACTAGACGAGTCTCTGTAGCAGCTGCTACAATACCGTTAAACAAACCTACGTGAAAGCTCAATCAAAGCTTACCGATCTCCTCGTCACATCATTCCACGACACTATGCTTGCCGACTCGCAAGCGGTACAATGCCATTCAATCCCGTCGTGAATTCTGTTTTGTCAAAGGCCGCTTCGCGATTAACAGCTCGCTGGCGAATGAAAATTAGCGGCCTTTGCTCAAATTAACGACGACAGGCAAGACTTGATTAATTCCGACGCCACTTCCTCGCGCGATGAATGCATGGCGGATTAAGAGCTGCAAGCCTGCGAGGACACAATTTCGACGTAGCAGTTATGGCGTGTGGGATTTGAAGCGGTCGAAGGCCAAAGAGAGAGAGGAGTGGAGAGGAGGGGAAGGGGAGAAAGGGGTTACTGAAGCGAGAGGGGGTGGATATATCCGTAGAGTTATGGCTGGTATGAAACCCATAGCAAATGATGCAGGAATACGTGACTGGCAAGCGAAGCGTTGCGCTGCGTCGGGTCCAGCGCGGCGCGGCGCGTCCCGATGCCTGCCTGCCTGCCTGGTCGGCTCGATGTAGCTGCAATCAGCAACGTGCACCGTCCAGAGCACCGAAATAAATTCAATAGAAATACGTTGCGCGTCGGCATACGGTAGCTAGGTCGTCGAGAGTACGTGCGCGCATGAAAAGTTGGATGGGCATGATCTTCGACACGTGGTCTTATCCTTCGATTAATCCTTTGACGATGAAATTAATTCAGCAAGATTAGCTCGGAAAGAAAATTGCTTCTATTGTTCATTCAATCTGATCAATAAATTAGAATTGTAAATACAATTTTATAAACAATGCAAAGTTGTAATTGATTTTTAACGACTTAGGTATCGATTATTTGTATTATCTCAAATATTTACGGTATATAATATAATAAGTTAATATCTAATATAAGAACGGCTATAATAGATTCTAAATTATATTGTACATTATAATAATATAAATTTAATCGAAGTAAATCCTTGTGATAATTTTCACAAAACTAAAAGCTACATGAAAGCAAAGGCGCTGACACTGAACGCTAACGCTTATGAATGCTGATATATTCAATCAAGGGGATTGGCGTGATCTGCAGAAATGTCGTTGAGATCGAAAGGGAGTAAATAGCTGGCTGTGCATACCATCCACATGAAGCCTTATGGCAAACATATTGGATCATCGTGGATACGATACATCAGAATTCCACTCCCGTCTCGTCGCTGTCGCCACGTGACGTTCTCCATTAAATTTCGCGTAATAGGACCGACAAGATGTCGACTAAGCGGAGGGACCTCCGCAATTTGAAAGGTCGATACTCGATTTCCGCGACACGACTTTCGTTTCAGAGTCGCCGTCTTTCGAAAAGAAAGTTACATTTTCGCAGCCGAATTCTCGCAGGTCCTTGAACGCGTAAACATCTGAGCTCATACGAGTAACGTAAAGTACGTCAAAAGTAAATTGCCTTTTTCGTTTTAAAGTTTTTTCGGAGAATCCATACCATACAATCTCTTTTCGATAATGGACTTATTCACGAATCTGTAATTGTTACTTTTAACGAAGATAAACCATGACAAATCACGTTGAAGGAAAATAAAACATTATTTTTAACAATGTTGCTTTCGATAAACTATAATTCTGCATACTGTGAACATATACATTTATAATAAATTATATATATTAAACTTTATAACAAATATTTTTCTTTTATTTATAAACAAAATTTTTTATTAGTAATTTAATAATTTTTTAATAACTCTTATTTTTAATGTGCAGTACATTTTTTTTTAATTGATTTCTTATGTTTTTTGTAATAAGGTGATCATCATCTTGAAGTGTATGCTCGGGCAGGTTATAAAGCGAGAAAAAGAATAAAAGTTTAGTAGATGTAATTAAAACGAAATATATACATTTATATACATATACATATATGTATATAATCTATGTAAGTGAGAGTTTAGACAGAATTAAGAGATAAAACAAAAACAGACACATTCTAACGACATGTTTTCTCGTTGCAGTGAAGTACCTGCGGGAAGTGACGCCGTACTTCAGGAAGGCTTCGATCATCCAGGAAGTGGGCTGGGAACTTCAGCGCGGTTTCCTGAGCGCGACGCCACCGCCGCCAAAGTCACCACCACGGGCGGATACTCGTTATCTGCCATTACAACTCTGCAGACTCACCAGAGCGCATCCCTCTTCCGATCCCGGTAAGTCTTAACACCGAAAAGTCGATGCTCGGTTTGAGTAGCTCGTCTACCATGTAAAGATTAATTCGTCGGTTGTGCGGTTGGATCTCTGAGACCCTAGCTATTTCCCAATTTGTTACAATGTTCCTACACACGAGGGTTATCACACAAATATTCAAGGCAATGTATCTTTTATTTTAAAGCAGTTTGTTACCATTTAAATTTGTCTTCTGCCAGGAATTTGGAGCGAGGAATATACGGAAAGAATGGTTTTGTTAAAGGGTCTGAAAAATTAGCTAGATATAGGTCTGAAAATAATTATGGTCGATTATCAAAATAATTATGCAGAACGTTTAAACGTTGATGACGATGCTGCAAAAAGTTTTAACATTCTAGTAACCAGTTTAAACGTTCTACGCTACGCTAATAATTATTTTGATCATCCAAATACATTTTTAGATACTCCAGTAAAACCATTTTTATAGGCATACATAATAATATTTTTTTTTATTAAAAATGTGTATAACGCATTTATCATTATTTTACGCGAAAAGAATAGTTTTGTTGAAGTATTTAAAAATTTAGCTAAATACAGATCTGAAAATAATTTTATAGGACCATCAAAATAATTATTCTCAAACTGGTTACTAGAATGTCAAAACTTTTTGCAGCAATACTCATCATACATACTTGAGGTTTTTGCATAATTATTTTGATGGTCCAACAAAGTTAGTTTTAAATCTGCAATTATTCTTTCCGTACATATACATGCTTGTGATTTTAAATATTATATAATAATAATTCCAATATCATTAAGAAGTGATTAATGACAGTACTTTTGCCATTATCAATTTTGTCGTATTTGAAGACACGGAATATTGTATTAGCTTTATGATCTTTTTAATCGGTTCTTATTGGAAAAAGCTTTGATACTTTAATTTTTGTTTTAAGATGTTTCCGAAAATCTATTATTAAGTAAATATCCGGTGATTTTTATATATATACATAATTTATATTATTGGTATATAATTTATGTCTATCAGAAATTATATATTATTTGTTAATGTGCTATTAACTGTATTTCAACATTAATGTTCAAATCAACAAATCTTTCTTCAGTGAAAACAAGAAAATGAATTAGGACTCGTTAACTATAATTACTTTATTGGACTTCTCTTTTCTAAAGGAGTATAGAAGCGATTAAGGTGAGAGCCGCCGATTACGTCAAATTTAATCTAAAACTCGAGGACGTTCAAAGGAAAATAAACGTGAGAGAGGAATGGAAAACGCAAACGGATTGCGCGTTTTATCGTCTTGATTAACGAAGTAGTGCAATCTAGATCGCGGTTGAAGAGTTTAGGAGAATCGGGAGAGATCTCGTTTACCTATTTGCCAAGCGCAGCGACGGTGGTAAATGGCCTCGCGGCAGGATAAAAGTCCAGTCCTTCTATCGGAGACAGTCGCCTCCCTCCGCGTCTACGTAGTGATAAACTGAGGATGAGTTAGCACGAAGAGAATATCTCTCCCCCTTGGGCTCGTAGTGAGTTAATGAAAGGCGAATGGCTCCTTAATTCTGTAAAGCTTCTCCGTTCTTCTCTTCCCCGTTCTTCTCTAAGCACGCCATCTCCGTTCAGGGCCGCTCGTACAAATTTTCACCTCTTGGGGATTGTTAGCGGTGTCCCATATGTGGCATGCAGTGTTTGTTTTATTTGAACAGTTTAGTTTAGTTAAGTGTCTCTATTATTACAGTCGTATTGTCCGTTTACTTCATTGTAATCCTATTTTCAAATTGTTTATTTTTATTTCATGTATGGATACATAATACAAATTTTATGAAAAAAAATTATAAGATTTAAAAAGTTTAAAATATTATAATTTAAAAATGACGGATATATGCAAGTCTGAAAAATAGTAATTAAGGATTAATAATTTGTAACGTACGTATAATTACGTATTATTACTTTGTTAAATGTAATTAAATATATATGTGTTTTTAATCAATTCTTCTGCCCTTTAAGAATGATAACTAAAAACACAAGTCGTACGCTATCGTATACAGAAAAAGTAAGAAAGACTAAAGTTAAAAGAACTCCCGAGATTGAAGGGTTAAACCGACCCTGTGCGACTCGACTCTCTTGGACTGAAAGAAAAACTGCGAGAGAGAATAGCTGCGCTGTTAAGAGAGGAGAAGGTAGAAAGGAAGAGACAAGCGCGGTCGGCGCCGAAAGGGGTGGTGACAGACGGGATGGACAGTAAGGGGTAGCTGTGAGCTAAGAAACGCAATCAAAGACGTGCCGTATCTCTTGCCGGCATCTAGCTAAGCCATGTCATAGAGTAACGCTTACTGATATTTCTTAAATCAATTTGGTAGCATCCGCATTGCAGCATAAAAATTTTAGCGCTAATCATAATGATGAAATTGCTCAGAAAGTGGAAAGTAATTTTAAACTACGTTCATTCTTAAAAAGATATTATTATTAGTAGATCGAGAATGGAGACACTTATCTTGTGTTAGATTTCTCATTAACTTTCGATCATATTGGTTACTTGTAACGATTTCGCGGACAGCGAATGTGCAGTCGGTGAACAATTCTGGTCAATGGTAAATTTTACAGCCGATGCAGTAAATTTTATGTCGTTGCCGCGACGATGATTGCATTCATATTGCTTCGATCGATGAACATGAATGATAACAGGACGATAAATTGGACATACGCTGCGCTCGCAAACCATCGTAATCCTTTTACGTTAAAGTGCAGGTAAAATCTCGATTGCCGAAAAATGAGATTTATTGTATTTTAGCAGGAATTATTATAGCAAGATAACTACAGAGGAGAAAGTTGAATGTTTTTAGTATTTATAATTGCATGTAATTATATTTTTATTAATTTACTAACACGGGAATCTCACATAGTGTCAAATTCTGACTTTATAATGAAATATTGTATATATAATAGATTAAGTAAACAGATGAATATTACCCCTTATACTTAAAGCAGTTTTCAACTTTCTTTGTTGTTTAAAAAATTTTTAAGATATTAACAAAAATTTTATATACAAGTTTTATAATAAAACTGTTTATCTATACATCTCTCAATAGTATTTTTTAAAGATAATTATAAATTCATATTTTTATCATAATATCTAAATTCATATTTTTAAAGTTATTTTTACAGAGTATTATTAACATAGATAAATGGGAATAATTTCATTATAAAAGTTTATCTCTTAAAATTATTTATTGGCCGTAATTAATATTTTTTTAATTTACCTTTATTTACATGTTTAATCTATAAAAGATTATAAAAGACTATAAAAAATTCACACATTAAAAATCAATAATTTAACACTTTGCGAAAGTTTCTTGTAAGTATCTGGACTTGTATATCAATTATATGTATATGTTATATATATATATATATATATAATTGAACACTTGTATTTGCATCTGGATATCATACTCGCTTTGATTTCGAACTTATTGCAGCTTTTGCTTCTGTATACTTGCATGTATTCAAGTGTATCATATTGCTGATTATGATGTTTGAGATAACAACAGCAAGAGATGATACTAAATGTTATGATGCAATGCTACGTGCAAATGAGCACCTATGCAGGGCAGGCATGGCCTGTGGCACAAGGAGAACAAAAGCATAGCATGTCAGAGGAGGGCGTAAAAAAATAGAGAAAGACGGTTTTGCTGCGTTGAATGCGCGTGTTTACACGATGCCTGCGACCGCGAGCATCATTTTGCGGTTGAAAACGTTCAGTTACACTCGTCGCGCGTTGAAAACAAACAGACGAGCCTGTATTCGTTGCCGTTTCGAAAGCTTGCTGGGGCTTTTCTAGATCATGAATTGCAAAAGCCGGTGTTCTACTAGCGGCTGTCAGCACTGCTTCGTAAATCGCTGAGATGAAAATGCACACGATGTTTCATATTTGACTCGGTTAAATGGGCACACTCTTTGGTAAGAATGCGACAAACTGTATTATACAATATGAATTTAAGCTTTATGAATTTAAGTTTTATGCGCGCTATTGATTTCTTTTATTTTTACACTATAATACGTTACATAAACTCTTTAAATAAACTTTATTTAAAGGTACTTGTATATATGTGTTATACTATTTAAATGAACTTAAACTTATTTATAGTATGATATGTATATAAGTCATAAGTAATTGGTTGCTTAAACCGTACTTGTGAGTCTCCTAAATCGTGCTTTCTTTGAAAGAATGGAATTTATGAATAAAAATCATTAAAAATATAAGATTAATAGATAAAATTAACTTTATTATATATATTTCTATATATAAATTGATAAAAAATAATTAACATTAGTTATACCTAATTTTTTAAGTACTGTTAATACGCACAAAACGAGATGAAATCTGTTAAATTTGTCTGTTTGTAATACTTATTTAGAAAATATTGTTGAAGTATGATTTAGGCGATCGTTTCGTTACGTATTCAAGAACTCTATGTGCATCATGTAGTACAATCTGTAATGTATTAAGTCGAAACATACAATTCGCTAAGATCTGAATCTGCTTCTCGATTACGTAATCTGATGTACTTCCAATGTTAATTAATTAACAATCAGCGCTCTTTGATCACCTACCCGTGTATAGAGTGTCCTCCTAAGCATGTGCAGTATATCAGACGGAATTGACGTCGCGACGCAAAGTCAGTAATCAAGCTTTCCCGCCGTTTCAGACAACCTTTCGAGATCTTGCTGAGTTCCCCTCTTCAGGCATGAAGGATTTTAGCCAAGGAAGACGGCTGCTTTGCAAGCTCGCGCAAGGTAACCGCAAGCTGTGCGAAAAGCATTTCCTTTGAGTGTCTGTATGCTCTCCTGAGGATTTCTCGAAGGAATCATTTCCGGAACAACCTCTAGAGATAAGCGAAAGCAATACTGTGATTGCGCAGATATTAATTTATGCAAGTTCTCCTAACTCCACAAGCAATCACATTTCGGTAGATCTCGGATTCGTAAGGAAATTATAGAACTTCTGAATTT